CGCCGCGCGCGCCGCGGGCGCCCCGCGCCCGCCGGGCAGGGCCGCGGCGCAGGGCGCGGCCGCCGGCATGGCGCAGAAGATGCAGGCGGGCGGGCCGCCGGCACGGCCGACGGCAACTATCCCCTCCCCCGGGCGCCCCGCCCGCGCGCCGGCGGCTTCGCCCGCCCGCCGGGCACCCCCGCGCTCGTGGCCGGCGCCCCGCCGCCCTCGCGCTCGCCGTTGCCCTCGCCGCCGCCCTCGCCGTCGCCTTGGCCCTCGCCGCCGCCCTCGCCGTCGCCGTCCTTTCCCACCTCGCCGCCGCCCGGCTAATTACCTCGGAGACATGGCTCTCGGGCCTCCAGCGGGCGCTCGGGGCTCGAAGGGGGCACGGAGAGGAGGCGGAAGAAGGCCGACACCAGGTCCTGTATTCCAAGTTCCGTAAGGAAAGAGAGGGGAGAGCTCATGCTGCGCATGGAATGAAGTCAATGATCGGATGAACGATGAGGCTATGATGCCTCTTTTGATTTTGAGCTGGCTATGATGCCCACTCGTGCCCACCCCGTCCCGTCATCCCTGTATGATGGTGGGGTGGAATGACGGGCTGCCGCCCCTGGCACTTCACGTATGGTGGCAGGTTCGTGGGGATTTGCCCCCCGCCGCCCCTATGATGGGAGCTGCGGAGGGTATGAGGCATCATGGCGGTCCACACTGGTCAGGCATATGATGGTCCTCACCGGTGGGGGGGGTGAAGAAGAATACCTGAGGACTTTAGTGGGGGAAACCAAAATCACCGTCCAAACCCAAGCACGAGAGAACCCACAATCGAAAGGAGCGGACGGTCCACAGGCGGGGAGTCACGCCGCACCGGCCGCCACCTCGCGGCGTCACGCCCCCGTCGAACTCGCTCTTATCCCCCTGGGCCCTGGGCAGCCCTTGGAGAGGCAGCACAAGTCCAACGTACGTACGCCCCCGCACTCGTGCAGCTACGACCACTCGTACTGGTAGTCACAGTCGTGGTCGCCGTCGTCGTCGTCGGCGGCGGCGTCGTCGTCGCCGAAGTCGTGGTCCTCGACGTCCGTCGCCGGTGCCAGGATCGTGGGGATTTTCCCCAGCAGCCCCTATGATGGAAGCTGCGGAGGGTGTATGGCCTTATGGCGGTCCTCACTGGTCAGGCCTATGATGGTCCTCACTGGTGGGGGGAAGAAGGATACGTACTTGAAAAGGGCCGTGAGAGAAACGAAAACCACCGTCCAAACCCAAGCACGAGAGAACCCACAATCGAAAGGAGCGGACGGTCCACAGGGGGGGAGTCACGCCGCACCCGCCGCCACCTCGCGGCGTCACGCCCCCGTCGAACACCTCGCTCCTATCTCCCTGGGCAACCCTCTAAGAGGCAACACGAATCCCTCGGACGCATCCCCCCCGCACTTCGTGCAGCTACGCCCACTCGTACTGGTAGTCACAGTCGTGGTCGGTCGCCGTCGTCGTCGTCGCCGAAGTCGCGGTCCTCGACGTCCGTCGTCGGTGCTAGGATCGTGGGGATTTTCCCCAGCAGCCCCTACGATGAAAGCTGCGGAGGGTGTACGTCCTTCTGACGGTCCTCATTGGTAAGGCCTCCCAGACGAGCAGCTTTAGATCTCCCCCAGACCAGCCACGAAAGGGCGGCCGTTTACCCACAACCCCCTTGGAACCCTCCAAGACAGCTCCAATCAGACCCCCCCCGGAATCAGACCACTCTCCTTTGATTGTGGAATCTGGAGTACATTTTGACCAGGGTTCGCTGTCGGTGTCCCGTCGGCTGGTGTCCGGCATAATGTTTTTATTGTGGTTTTTGCCTGGCTTTCGTGTCCGTCTATTCGGCCGTGAGAGCTCCCAAGATCGCCCGAAAAAGGCTGTCAACGTCGCTCCACCGCGGCCCAATGGCGGCTCTAGCCGGCCCAGGAGGGCCTTTCAGACGCCTCGTCGGGGCGACGGGGCGTCGAGGTTTAGGGTTGTCGGGCGTTTTCGTCGATTCTCGGCGGCTTTCCAGCTCCGGGATGCTCTCCAGCAGCTGCGCCTCGCCGAAGGCGTTCGAGGGGTGCCCAGACTGTCCCGACTGGCCGCTGAAGAGCCGAGTGAACATCCGAAAGCCGGGGGCAACGACGGGGGGGGGCTCAGGGGGAGCACATCGACCCCCAAGCGCCCACTCGTTGTCGAGAAGGTTCCCAGGCCCATGAGCGTGCGGTTTCGCTGTCGAGAGCTCCCGTCGCCGATCTGTCTGGGATGCGTCGCCGATCCCAGATCGATTGTTCTCCCCATGAGCCATTTCTCCCCTGACGACGCCGACGCCGACGCCGACGCCGACGTCGACGACGCCGCCGCCGACGACGACGACGCCGACGCCGACGTCGACGTCGACGACGACGCCGCCGCCGCCGACGACGACGCCGACCACGCCGACGAAGATGTTTCTCCCGTGAGGCGATCAGTCGAGGCGACGGCGGCGCCTCTCCAGCGTTTGCCGTCCTTCTCGGGGTCTTTGGAGGCGGCTCGTCGCCACGGCCGGCTCCGCCTCGAGGAGCTGGTCGGGATGGACTCCGGGAGGGGTCGGGAGACAGACTTCGGGCGGATCCTGGCCGGGCGGGAGGGCCGCCGTCGCATCGCAGCTGGCCCTCCTCCGAGGTGGGCGAGGCGATGATCGAGCGGAATCGCCGGGCGGGCGAGGAGGTGCCCGAGCGGAAGCGTTACGTGCTCAGCTTTAAGGATACGCCCTTTCAGTCGAAGGAGTACGAGGACAGGCTGCAGGATCCGCCCGGGCGTGCAGAGTCTGGCTGTCTGATCATCCGCCTGAATGGAGACTGCCATCGAGTCGTTTTCTGGGGTGGGATGGGGGTGAGGGGATGATCTTTTTGTGGAGCCCTGCATTCTTATTCCTGGGAGTGGCCCGAACCTAGTTCGACAACTAAGACTGTCTCTCGAGGACGTCCGCAAGGATCCGTTTACCAGTGTTGGCCTCTTTAGACATTTCATGACAGGCTCGTGATCAATTTCCACTCGATATCAAGATCTGACCACCACTCTGCTTTCAGCGTCCCATTCGCTTCTACATTTTTAGCGTTGGCGTATCACTCGCCCATCCCTCCATTCTTCCAACCCTCAGCCAGCAGGACCTGGAGTCAAGCCTTGGCTACCTTGGCTTGAGGTGGCGGGCCGACCTGCCTCTGGCCTCTGACCCGAGGGCGCCTGCACCTGAAAATATCTGCTGAGTTGCAGCTTGCAGCTGCTCCTTGCACCTCACCAAGCCCTTCGGCACAATGGGGAGGGGTTCACTCAGCCGCACTATCTTTTAGTAGTCGCCAGCTGACTAGGACCTGACACCTGACCAGGGTGATAACCTTGCAATGTGCCCCCCCTCCTCCCTGCAAACGAGGCCCCGACTGTGTTCCCTCAGCAGGCGCGACGATACTTTGCTGAGGATTGACGCCGTGCCCCCCTGAACCTCCTAAAGCATTCACTTGATTCTGATTTTCTGCATTTGTCCCACTTGTCTTACCTTGCCTGATCCACGCCCCATCCAGTTGCGCTGTCGCGAGAATCCGCATCCGTGCTTTGGGGGGATGCCTAAAATTAGGGGGGGAAGCTGAAGGAGGAGGAGGAGGAGGAGGAGGAGGCCCAGGGTAAACTTCATGGAAGGCCCTACCATGATTTCTGATTTCTGGGATATCGAAAACTCCTACGGCGAGTCACCGTCGCCCACTGTCGTTGAAAGCACCTGTATCGCGACATGTGTAGGGGAAGTGCGGTCACGCTAGTGGGCTGCGCATTCCCCCAACCGATTGGGATACCACTGGGTGAACACTGGGGAGGGGCCCCTTTGGGTCCGTCTTGAGGCTGTCTTGGGCCGCTTTTCGGGCCCTGTCGGGCCTTCTTGGAGGCCTTCTGGGGTTTGGCCATCTTAGGGCTCTCTTGGGCTGTTTCACTCTGCTTTTGGGCCGCGTGGCGTCTTCGGAGACCGCCTGGGCCGTCTTGAGCACCTCCGGGGGTCCTCGAGGACAGTCTTGCAGCTCTCTTGGGCTGTCCCGGGGCCCTCTTGTGGCCGGCCCTTGTGGACCGTCTTGGGTCAGTCGTTGGGGGCCGTCCTGGGCGCTCTGCAGACCGAGAGGGGAGAATCAGGCACTCCGTCAAACAGGCATGGTGCATCAAACATGTTTGCCTTTGGAGGCCCTCCTGGGGATCCTCTGAGGGCTTCTTGGGAGCCTCTTGGGCCGTCTCGATGCCATTCTGATTCGTCTTGGGGCCATCTTGGGAGCTCTTGTAGGCATTTTGAGCCTACTTGGAGGCAACTTTGGGCACCCTGGGCCGACTCGACTTGAGGGCAAGACGGCCCTCTGGGACACCCTCTCGGAGCCATCTTGGACGGACAAGCCCACGGGTTGTACCTTGTACGCTCCTTTCTGGGTGGTCGGTGGGTCGGGCCGAAGGCCACCGCGCATGTGTTGGAGCCGTGCCAAAGAATGGCTCTGAGGTCTGGCACGCCAAGCATCCTTTCGGCAGGCTAACTGCGGGGGCGGCGCATCCAGCGGCTTTCGGGCCCAGCCCGCCATCGTGCTCTTGAGTCATGGACGAGGCGCCTCTTGTTTGCCTCGTGGATGCCCCCCCCCCGGGCCCCTGCAGTGGCTTCTCTGGGGCCTCCTGGTTGCCTGCTGGTCCTGCGTGCCCTGCTCCCCGCCCCGCCCCTGCGCCTGCCCCCACCCCGCCCCGCCCCTCGCCGCTTCGCCCCGCCCTCGACTGCGCTGCGTCCGGCGTGCTCTGCCGGAGCACGCCGGCGCGGGACACGCGAGCAGCTGGGACGCGAACAGACCAGACTGTGGTTCGCTCCCAGGTTTTCGCGTGTTCGGCCCCCGCCCCGCGTGCGCCTCCTCGCCCCGCCCCCGCCCCTGCGCTGCGCCCCCCGCCCCGCCCCGCCCCTGCCGCCGCCTCGGCGGGCCCCTTCGCAGGCCGCGCCGGCCGCTCCCGGGGCCCTGGGCACCGCGCGCTCCCGCAGGGCGGCCCCCCCGCCGACGGCGCGGCGCGCGCGGCCCCCGCGGGCGCGGCCGCGGGCATGGCGGCCATGCTGCGGGGGCTGGGCGCGGGGCTCGGCGGCGGCCCCCAGGGGGGCGGAGCTCTTGGGGCGAAGCGCTCGGGCTCTCGGTGCTCGGGGGGCGGGGTGTTCGGGCACTGGGTGCCGGCCCGTGGGCGGGAAGCATGTGTGTGTGTGCATGGCCACGGCGTCGCGGTCCGGGCTCCGAGGCCGCGGTCCCATGGATCTGGGGCGTCTTTGCGCCGGTGCGCGCGGAACGTACCCCTGGGATTGCGTATCCTTGGGATCGCGCCTCGACGTCCAGTCCGCGAGTGCAGATGTGTGTATATATATATATATACAGATAGACACGCAATATATATATATATATATATATATATATATACACATCGATATGTTCGTCGCGCGTGAATTTGCTGCTCGTGCCGATATTGCTGTGCCTTGCCTGCGGGCGCTGCCAGCAGGCGCGCCCTCAGCATGTCCAGGGTGCCGCGCCAATGGCCCTGCCCCATGATCGATCGGGAGGCCGCGCTTGCGCCAGGGCGTGGGAGTTCCAAGTCCTCTCGCGGGTTTTCTGGGTGAGCGATATCCTCGATCTGGCTTCCGGCGTCAGGAAGTGGCGGGCATTATCGTGAGGTGTTTCTGGCTCGGGCCCAGTTCGGAGGACCAGCAGCGACACTACCAGGCGTGAGTGTGTAAGAGGAGGAGGAGGAGCAGGAGCAGGAGGAGGAGGAGGAGGAGGAGGAGGAGGAAGAGGAGGAAGAGGAGGGACGGAGAGAGGAAGGGGCCAGGCATAGGAGTAGGGAGGGGGGGAGGAGAGGGCAGGGGGAGGGGATTGTTGGAGTGGGAGGGGGAGGAGGAGGGGAGGGGAAGAGGAGGACGAGGGGAGGGGAAGAGGAGGACGAGGGGAGGGGAGGGAATCGGGCACGACGGGAAGGGAGGGCGAGGTGGAGGTGGGTCTTACCTGCTCCTGCGAGATCTCAAGCTCTCCTCGCCTCCCCGTTCCCGGCCCTCGTCCTTCCCCGCCGGGGGCCTCTCGAGGTTTCAAGAAACCACCAAAGGCCCAAGCACGTCCAAAAGCCTCGATCTTGCTCTTCCTTCCTCCTCCCCCTCCCCCTCCCCTTCCTCCTCCTCCTCCTCCTCCTCCTCCTCCTCCTCCTCTTCCTCCTGCTCCTCGTCCTCCTCTTCCTCCTCTTCCTCTTCCTGATGCTCCCCGTCCTCCTCCTCCTCCTCTTCCTCGTGCTCCCCGTCCTCCTCCTCTTTTTTCCTCCTTCTTCTTCTCTTCCTCCCCCTCCTCCTTTTCCTCCTTCTTCTTCTTCTCAGTTTTTTCCTCATGCTTCTTATGTTATTCTCCGGATTATTATTATTTGTGGTATTTTTTATTATTCATATTGTTGCTGTTGTTGTTGCTGTTGCTGTTGCTGTTGCTGTCGTCGTTGTTGTTGTTGTTGTTGAACACTATTACTTCTAAAGAATTATTATTGTTGGACCCCCTGGTGCACGCCCCCCGCCCAAAACCTAGGCCGCAGCTACATTTTCATCATTTTTCTGCGAAAGCTTCAGAAAAGTGGATTACCCCCGGATCCGGTTTTTTGTTGACGCTCGTTTTCCCTTGCAAAAAACAATAGAAAATGAAAATTCTTGTTCTTCGTTGATCAAATTTCAAGAATCCCTTGCAAAAAATAAGGTAAAGTGGACATTCGCGCTCGCAAGACGAAATCCTTCCAAAACCTTAGGTTTCGTAGCGATTTTAACATAAAAACATCAAAAACCCAATGGTTTTTTAAGAAAAAATTGTCAAAATGTCCTTCCGCGCGCTCTTGCGGATTCATAGGAAACACACCACTTTTTAAACATTTCTGTCAAAAGGGTCTTTGCGTGCTACTTCTTCAGGTGCTTTGAACTTCTCCAACAACGGTTGCGCGCCTGCGAGGGCCACCATCCCTTGCAAAAAATGAGACGAAGTGCACATGCTCGATTACCAAGCCTTACGAAGTGCACATGCTTGATTACCAAGCCTTGGGTCAGAGCGACGAGCTTCCGAACATGCTCGATTACCAGGCCTTGCCACCGCAGGTCCACAACGTGCTCGCGGTAGCACTGCCGTATGCAAGCACCGGCCTTCCCGCCAGCAGGCGTATCGGCAATCTCATTGGGCATCTGGGACCGCACGGGTATCAGCCAGGCCCGCACGTGTATCAGCCAGGCAGCCGGGCACCCACGCGCCCGCTCCGCGCCATCGCAGACGACGATGCGTCGCGCCTTTAGTATGCTTCTGGATGCGAAGACCATTCGGTTGAGTATACCCCTACGTGTGACTGGACCTGTTTGCGAAAGCAGGAGAAAGTATGGCACCCCTTTGTGTCCAGAGCCGCGCCGTCTGCGTTCTTCCTTTCTCGCTTCTCTCCTTTCCTCCTTGTCCTGCTCCTCCTCCCCCTCTTCCGCCTTGGAGCCGTATTGGAACTGTCGATGGCCATCTCCCTTTCTCCCTCGCATGTCTGCTTGTACATACGTATAATTTCAGAACTTACCGTGCATGCGATCGTTTACAACATGGTGGACCGTGCGTATGTCACGAACCTTGTATACATGTGTTTCTCTCCCTCCGTCTGGCTGTGCACGCGCGCGTTGGGCACTGAGAGTTAGGATCATAGCGCCATGAGTCTATGAGCAATGCATGCGTCATCCTTGGGACTGTATAACATCAGTGTAACACATGTACTTCTGTAATCGCATCCCCACGAATTTGCCCCAAAAATGTGACCAACTATCTTGGCACTGCGTACCATCTCACGTGTACCGTGTACCACATCATATGTAACAGATGTGATCAACCTCTGTGGGTGTGTACCCCACGCCAGTGTAGTAGCCAGGGTCGTCCGCACGCCACGAAGTGAAGTGTCCCAACGTCATAGGGCGGGAAGCTGGGTGTGGGTGGTCTCGAAGAGTCGTTTGGATATTTGGTAGAGCTTGAACGGCCCCCCCACGAAGTTGGGGTATTGGCTGGTGTCGCAAGAAAACCCTGGCACTGGGGAGAACACTGAGCGTTCGGGTAAAATGATTGTTGTTGTTGTTGTTGTTGTTATTGTTATTATTTATATTATTATATTCAGTATAGTTATTATCCCTATTATTTTGATTATTAACATTATTATTATTTCTATTATTATTGTTAGTAGTGTTGTTGTTCTTAATATTCGTATCCATGTTGTTGTCAGTATTATTGTTATTATCATTATCATTATCATCATCATTTGTATTATTAGCATTATTATTATTACTATTATTATTGTTTGTATTTTTATTATTATTATTATGATTATTATTATTATGATTATTATTCTTACTATTAATATTATTATTCTTATTATTAATATCCGTAAGGGCTTCGCCCCCTGCCGCTGGCCCCTCTCTCGGAGAATGGGCCATGGAAGAGCTAAGTCATGAGGCCTTGGCGCTGTCGTGAAGCAGTATCGAAACTTCATGCGAAGCCGATTCGCAATCAGCAAAACCAACTGATCACAAGAGGGGTTACCACACCTGGCGATTGGTAAGACGTGTATGGTTTACGGGCTTGGTTACCACACCTTGCGATTAAAGGGCCGAGGGAGTTCTCGCAGTTTGGGTTACCACGCCTTGCGATGGATGTGCGTGAAGGGTGGCACCGAATTTCAGAAATGTGGCAAATCCCCTGTGTTTTTGGACCCTGACCCCGCGGATCTGCGTGAGGGGTGGCACCGAATTTCAGAAATGTGGCAAATCCCTGTGTTTTTGGACCCTGACCCCGCGGATCTGCGTGAGGGGTGGCACCGAATTTCAGAAATGTGGCAAATCCCCTGTGTTTTTGGACCCTGACCCCGCGGATCTGCGTGAGGGGTGGCACCGAATTTCAGAAATGTGGCAAATCCCATGTGTTTTTGGACCCTGACCCCGCGGATCTGCGTGAGGGGTGGCACCGAATTTCAGAAATGTGGCAAATCCCATGTGTTTTTGGACCCTGACCCCGCGGATCTGCGTGAGGGGTGGCACCGAATTTCAGAAATGTGGCAAATCCCATGTGTTTTTGGACCCTGACCCCGCGGATCTGCGTGAGGGGTGTCGATTTCGAGCCCCCCCAGCAATTCAGACAACGCGCCCAGGGGACGCTAAAAATCCCGTTTGGGCCTCCCCCCCCTCGCGCGGTCAATCAACTAGTTACAGTAACCAGCAAGAAGTCAACTAGTTACAGTAACCAGCAAGAAGCAGAACTGTAACACTGGAAACTACAAACTACAACTGGTACAGGAAACTGCGAATCACGCGCCTCGCAGCCTGGTGGCCCCACATGGGGGCCGGCGGATTATGATTCAGCTTACCCTTCTTCTTCTCCTCCTCCTCCTCCTATCCCCCCTCCCTTCCCCTTCCCCCTCCTCCTCTTTCCTTCTCCCCTTCCTCCCCGCCCTCGCTCCAGTCCAGTGCGGCTGCGGCCGTAGAGCCGCCGCCTCCCCGCCGCCGCGGCCCACTGGAGGTATCGACACATTCCCCATGACCCGTTTTTCTAGGTCCCCCCAGCGGCGCGAAGATAACGGGTTGGAGAGAGAGGCTTCGCGCACCGCGGCCTGGGTTGGAGAGGCGCCCTTCTCCAGGGCGACGGCGCGAAGGTGATCGCGCGTCGCGCATCGCGGGGCGCCGTGCGCGAACTTCGGTGGCCTAGGTTTTTAACCCCGAGCCATTGTTTGACCGTCCTGGGGCCCCGCGAGTTCGCGGGGGCCGAAATCTATCCCAAACCGCTCTCTGTGAGCTTTGCCCCGGGATCGTTCTTTAAATGCCGAGCCGATTTTTGATGGTCGTTGGGCCCTCCCCAAACCGTCCGTCGTGAGCTTTCCACGACGCGAGGGGGCCTCGGCCGCGCAACGCCACGGTGCGCGGCCGCAGGCCTCCAGTCCCCGACCGCGCCCCCGCTCCCCCTCTGCCTCCTCCTCCCTCTGCCTCCTCCTCCTCCTCCTCCTCCTCGTCCTCCTCCCTCCTCCTCCTCCTCCTCCTCCTCCTCCTCCTCCTCCTCCTCCTCCTCCTCCTCCTCCTCCTCCTCCTCCTCCTCCTCCTCCTCCTCCTCCTCTCCTCCTCCTCCTCCTCTCCTCCTCCTCCTCCTCCTCCTCCTCCTCCTTCCTCCTCCTCCTCCTCCTCCTCCTCCTCCCCCTCTGGTGCGGCTGCCGCCGCCGCGCGGCCACAGGCCTCAAGTCGCTGCAGGAGCGCGGCCTCGGCGCCGGCGGCGCGGCGGCCGGAGCCCCGCCGCGCCGCCGGGCCGCGCCGCGGCCGCGGCCGCGCCGCGTCGCCGCGGCCGCGCCGCGCCGCCGCCGTTGCGCCGCCGCGCCGCGCTGCCGCTGCGCACGGCCGCGCCACGCCGCCGCGCCCCCTGCGGTGGCCGCGCCGCTGCGGTGCGGAGGGGTGCGGCCGTCGTGGCGCGGTGCCTTTTGCAGATGCTTCGGCTGCGCGCAGAGAGGGGAGGTGAGCAATCGGTTGTTGAGTGGTGTATTGGGTTACGGTGTAAAGAAGGTGGAGGTACGTCCGGGCCCTCCTTTCTGGACGCCTTCGTTGGCTGAGGGTCCATGGAGGAGTCCTCGGCCCCCCTGGTGCCAATTGACGGCAGAATTGAGGGATGATTGGTGGGGGCGGGAACCGAAGCAGCCCCACTGGTGGAAGCTGCGAGGGGTGTGAGGGGGGAGGGGGGAGGCTTATGAGAACTACCCCTGCCTCCTGCAAGGCGCGGCCTTGTCCATAGATGTGTAAGGCCCGCGCCCTCTCAGAAGCAGCCTCCTTCCGAGAAGCCTTCCCCCCTCCCCCTGCCCCCTTGCGCGCGCCGCCAACTTCTGCAGATCTTCGCGGCGTGCAGAGCTCGAGGAGCACACACCTTGGCGGCGAAGTCCGGGCCCTCCTTTGTCGATCAACGATGCAGGCATCTCGATGGGCGGCCGCAAACGCGTCTCTGAAGGGACCCCGATCCACACTCCCACCGGGCCCGCCAAGTAGGCCAGCCCCGTTGTGCCTTGCCCGAAACTGGAGGGATGAGAAAGAGAGCCTGGAATTTCAGTCCGGAGAAGGATGCAGATTCTGCGCCGAGAACCAGGGAAGGTCTTGGAGACGGCGCAACCGATGAGGGAGGGGGGCATGTTTGGGCCCGAAAACATTGGAGTGGGAGAGTTGGCCCCAAAAAGCACAGATTTCAAGTCGCGGTTGCGTCCCCGAGGGGACTTGGCGGAGGGATGCCAATGGTTTATGGACAGAAACCAGTGGGAAGGAGTGGTATGAGAAATGCGGAGTGTCTGAATGTGGTGTTCTTGGTTCCAGACCGCCAGCTTGCGAGACGAGCGTGCGTGTGATGAGACTAGCCGCTGGCTGGGCCTCACCAGTACGTGCGTGAAAAACATGAGGTTGCGTGTTTGAGTGTGTGCGTGTGTGATAGCGGCGACTCTTCCACCATCGGTCGGGAGCTGAAGGCAGAGGGGGGCGTTCAACCTCTGGATGAGTATGACCTGCCAGTGGGTCCAGAGGACTTCCGTGCACAGCACGTGCACCCCGTCGGGCGGTCGGGGCGCGGACCCGGGGCTCGGGTGTTGCTAGAAGTGCGCCTGGCCCAAGGCGCTCCCAGGATTTCCAAGGAGGCTCCCAAGGCCTCCAGAGCCCCCCTCGCAAGGCTCAGAGGGCCCCAGGGGCTCCAGGACGGAGCGACGAGCTGGGGGCACCTTGGGCCAGGGGCACCTCCAGCAACCCCGACACGTGCACTTGGTCGGACCGCCGGGGCGTGGACTCGGGGTGGCGGAGGGGAGGACCAGATCTCGGGCAGGGAGTTGCGAGGTTTCGGCGCCGAGCCGGCCAAAGGTGCCCCTCAGTGAGGTCCCTGTCAGGAGGCCGCCGAAAGTAGACGGGCGTCCTGAAGTCCTGTCACCCTCTTCACGGCTCTTCGGAAGCTTGTTGAAGTTCGCGGTCATTGTGGGCTGGTTAAGGCAGTGCGACGCGGCTCCTAGCGGTTGCAGCGTTCACAGCTCGCAAACTTTTGACAGGGAGGACCGTGATTCCTCATTGTTGGTGATTGATTCGGGCCCTTACCGTCCTACAGCTCGTGTGCTGTAATTCCTGTCGCCCTCATGGCCTTGAAGCACGCGCCAATCAGACGCGCGTCGACCTCGCGGAGGATGATTCCTGTCGCCCTCATGGCCTTGAAGCACGCGCCAATCAGACGCGCGTCGACCTCGCGGAGGATGGAGCGAGACATAATTCCCCAGAGCAGCGTCAAGCACCTTTGCAAAAGGGGCTGGGGTCGGGGATTCTCATTTCTTGCTTTTCTCATTCGTCATGCCTTCTGATTTGTGCCTGACTCCGAGCTGCCACGCAGGAGTCCTCGCGGCCCAGAAGGAGGAGGAGCTCGAGGTGGACCCGCAGCCGCAGCCTCCGCCCCCCCTTTGCTTGATGCTGAGGCGGGGAACGTTCCCATGGCCGCTGGCTTCGGCAGCGCTTCACGGCATCGTTCGTGCGCCCCTGTCCCTGGATTCGTTCTGCTGCGGGACAGCCGGTGCGCATGCGTCTGTGGCCCTCCAGCGCCGCCCACGCTCGGAGAGAGGAGCCGGACCTGTCTCTGGCCGAAGCCGTCCGCGCCCCTTACTCTGGTTGGCAACCACTGCACCTTCTGTGCGCTTGCTCCATTTGCCGGCACCGTCGGACCGATCCTCATCCCCGCCGGGCCACGGTATCTCAGCCCCGGGTACGTGGGCACCGCGAGGCCCGAAGGGAACAGCATGCATCCCCACCTACGGTAGGTGCATGCGGCGTGGGCGCGCCGGCGACCGAGGCCGGCGGGGGCGCTCAGTGTTGAGTTCTGCGACGCGGAAGCACAGATGAGCACGGCAGCGCCACGGTAGCGCCACTGTTATTGACTGGATTTCATTCTTCCAACGATCGTGGCCGCGATCGATTCGAGGTTGAACGGTCGACGCGGTGTGATCAAGAACCTCTGCGCGCGCCGACGCCGCACGAACCCTACCAGATGGGGTCAAGTTGGCCAGTGGGGCCGAGGCCATGCCCGTGGTGGTTTGGGTCGCTTGGGCGATGCACAGTTCCCAGGCGGTCGGGCTCTGACAGCCACGGCTACCTCGGCTCGTCGATCCGTCCCCCGAGAGCCTCCGCGGGGGCTCGGGAGGACCCAGGAAACCGGAAGGTTCGAGATGGCCCGAGCCCGGGTTTGCCGACTTTTTTTGGACGAGCCCGTCCTGGCGTTTGACGGTCCAGGTTTTCGTGGGGTGTTTGCAGCGGGGGCTCGCGTCAAATTTCAGATTAGGTCTCGTCTTGTTCTTGGCGGCCTCGCCGGGCCAACCCAAATCCCTCAAACCCGAGTCTTTTACGTCTCCGTGACTGGTGACGCTCGGGTGACCAGATCGCGGAAACAATCGCGGAAACAATTTAATGTTTCGGGCCCGCAAGGGCAGTTCGCCTGGCGCCGTGGTCCGACTCTGGACGGTTCAGGCTCCCAGGGCACGCTGCGCTCTTCCGCCAGCCAATATCGGGTAGCATCGCTGGCACTTGCCCACTTGCCTTCGTGCTCGCGGGGGCATTTGCTGGGCCTCCTGTGGCCTCTTGGGGGCCGCTTGGGACCTCGTGGGGCCTCTTGGGGGGGGGGTATGGGGGGCCTCTGCGAGCCTTTTGAGGGACTCTTGGGGGGTCTTCTGGCACTCTCCCAGGCCATCGAGTTTTCAGGTCTCTTGGAGGAGCGCTCTTGGAACGTGTCGGACCCGCTTGTGCTCTCCTGCAGGCCCCGTGGAACGCTCCTGGAGCGCTCTTGGGGGCCGACAAGGCCGCGCCCGGAGGTGGTTCAGAGGCCAGCATTATCGAGTTATGTTTGCACGTGCACAGTTTTCCTATTCTCGCTTGTCGTCGATCCTCGAGGTTACGTCCTCGAGGTTCGGCCTTGATTTGGTTCAGGACGTTGGAAGTCTGAAGGTTTGGGCGGTCCCTGCTTTCCGCCCTCCGCTGGCCTCTCTCGGCGGTGCGCAGAAGGGGGGTGTCGCGAGGGGTTGGTCTTCTTCGATGGCTCCCCTCTCCTCATCCAGCGTCTCAGGCCGCCCACCAGGCCTCCAAGACTCCTCAAGAGCGCTCCAAAGGGACATCCCAGAGGGTCCCCCAAACAAAAAACGCTTCATTCCTTCAGGATGGCGTATCTTTTTAGCATGTTTTTTCTCCCCACATCCCAAGTGGGGATTTTGCTTCCTCTGGACACCCCGCGCAGGAACAGGAAGCCACCCACCCACGCCATCATTATCATCACCAACACTCATCATCACTCACTCACTCAGCCCCTCTGTCCTTTCATTTCACCTTCACCATCACCATTCACCACCCTCGCCCATCAGCATACTCACGTGCTCACTCACTCACTCACTCACTCATTCACACAGACTCACTGAGCATCATCACCATCGCCATCGCCATCATCGTTATCATCGTCACCATTCTCATCATCATCACCACCATTATCATCCTCGTCACCAACATCGACATTATCGCCAGTATCTTTATCGTTGCCACCATCACCACTATCACCATACCATCGTGACCGCCGGCAATCACCATTCGTCGTCATCACCGTGCACACTCACTCACACACTCGCACACTCACCTTGAGTAGGTCTCGAACGGAAGCACGTCAAACACAGTTTTGGTGACACCAGGGAGCTTGAACCCAGAGGAGGTCTCGAGCGGGAGCTTCGTCCCGACTGAGAGGATGCCTCGGGCGCTCACTCCTCTGTGAGCGAATCGCGAGGAAGTCTCGAGCGGGGAACCTCTCCCTACGGGGTTCCCTCCTCCATGCTCGAATCCGCGGCGGCCATCGGACAACCATGTAAAAGCAGGTTTGGTGACACCTGGGAGCTTAAACACCGAGGAAGTCTCGAGCGGGAGCCTCGTTGCTGAGCAAATTGATCGGATGTCTCGGGTGTTCAGTCGTCTGTCAGTGAATCGCAAGGAACTCGAGCGGGAGCCCATCCCTATGGGGTCCCCACGTCCATGTTCAAGTCCGAGGCGGCCGCTGTGAAACAATATTTTAAAAAAGGTTTGTTGACAGCTGGGAGCTTGAACCCGGAGGAAGTCTCGAGCGGGAGTCTCGTTCCCGAGCGAATTTCGAAGATGTCTCGGGGCGCTCTTTTGTCTGTGAGAGAATCGCGAGGCAGTCTCGAGCGCAAGCCCCCTCCCTACGGGGTCCCCGCTTCATGTTGGCAATTTGAGGTGGCCATGGGGATTCTGGGAGCCTGAATCCCGAAGCAGTCTCGAGCGGCGGCCTCGTTCTTGAGCAGACTGAGGGGTTGTCTCGGGCGCTCGCCTGTAAGTGAATCTTGAAGATGTCTCGAGCGGGAGCGCCTCCCAATGCCCCCCCCCGCTTGACGTTATCAATCCGAGGCGGCCATCTGGATTCTTTGTAAAAGCGCAGCTTTGGTGACACCTGGGAGTCGGAATCTTGAGAAAGTCTCGAGCGGGAGCTTCCTTTGTCGAGCGTCCTTTGTAATCCGAGGCGGCCATCCTCGATCAAGCTTGTAAGCGTCGGCAAGGACCAGCAGACACCAGACAGGAAGAGGGCCTTCATAGTCGCAAGGACGACGTCGAGGATTACTTACAGAATAGTTTGCAAGATTCTCATGTGGGGTTCTGCCGCTGGAGTATTTGTAGTACGAGCACAGTCCAGAGTGACCCACGAGGCTTCCAACATCGCTCCAAGACGGCCCCAAGATGGCCCCAAGACGGCCCAACATGGCTCAAACACGGCCTCAAAAGCCCTGGAGTCGGCCCAAGATGGTGCCAAGAGGGGCCCTAGAGGGGGAACCCGATATACTTCGATCCCTTCGCCTCAAGCAGGCCCCCGAGGCCGCCAACAGGCGGCCAAGGGGCCCCCAAGAGGCCCCCAGAACGCCCCCAGGAGACCCCAACAGGCCTCCAGGAGGTCCAAAAGGGAACCCACAAAGCCCCCCCCCGCACCCCCCTGACGTGACTGTCGGCCCACAGGAAGTGAGAAGGGGGGGACAGACAGCGAATAGTCCCGCACGCTTTCTCGCCCCCGGCAAGCGAGAGTCGGCGGATTCCTATCACAGTGTAGCCTCAATCCTTCTGCGGCCTCCTCGATCCCCCCCATCGCAGGCGACGATTGGCGGCGAAATCCGAACCCTGCCGTACCCTCGCCGATCGATGATTCAGGCAACTCGATGGGCGGCGTTGGTAGGTTTCGGACCTCGCCGAGCGCGTGGCGAGATTCGAGCCGCACGCCCCCGCCTCCCATCGATTCGGGAGACTCGGTGGCTGGTCTTGGCATCGCTCGGACGTGTGCATTTTTCCTTCGGCGAGGACCATCGAGGAGCATCCTCGACCATTTGGCGCAAAAACCACGCACGAAACCGAAAAAACACAGGGAATGGACGTCCGAGCGATGGCCAGGTTTCGGACCTCGCCGAGCGCGTGGCGAGATTCGAGCCGCACGCCCCCGCCTCCCATCGATGCGGGAGGCTCGATGGCTGGTGGGGGGTGGGGTTCCGACGTCGCCACCTGGAAGAGGCGCCCGTCGCGAGCCCCTCCCGTCGCCGCCCCGCCTCTTTGGAGTGGGGGATTGACTCACATCAGAGCGTCGATTTATCCCACACTTACCCCACGATGTGCCACGATTGATTCACATCAGAGCGTCGATTTACCCCCCTATTACAGAGTCGATTTGCCCCACACTTGAGATCTGTTCGTCGAGTGTCCATAAGGCATGCGTAGGATGTTTGTGGAGATCTACGAATATCCTACGCATGACTCGACGAGACCATCAACTCTGGGGTGAATTGATGCGGTCGTCGATCCCCTACTCGACCCTGTCGCGCAAACCGCCCCGTGGAGAGGCTCGGCCGCTGGGTGGCGGCGCCGCGCGGCGGAGGCGCCGCTCCGCGCCGCTCCGCGCCGGAGGGCTCTGTTCGGCGGGCTCCCGGGCGCGTCCCCCTCCCCGTCGGGGGCAGCGTTTCGAGCGGGGGATCGACTGCAGAACTCCTGAGCCCCTGGATTGAGATGCCATGCTCCGTCGAGCCTGCGAATCATGCGTAGGGTGCTCCGTAGATCTACGGAACATGCCACGCATTTTCTCCGAGGTCTCGACGAAGAAAGTCAATTCTTGGGTGCATCAATTCTGTAGTTGATTTCCTTCTCGAGTTTACCTCCTGAGCTTCCCTCGGGTCTCGGCGGCTTCTGGCCTCGGGATGCCTGCCAGCAGCTGCGCCCCGCCGAGGGCCCTCTCGCTCCTTCACGTCGGAAGGCGACGGGGGGTAGTGAGAGGGGGCGGGCCTTCTCAGAATGCTCGGGCATCCCTCGGCCTTCTGAGAAGTTTGCGAAGCCCCCCCCCCGAAGACACGACAAAATCTTCTCAGAAGGTCAGAGGCCTCCTGAGAAGCCCCGCCGCCTTCCGAGAAGGCCTTCTCCCTCTCACTTTCCCCCCCCGCTCGCGGCCGAAAAGGGTTATGGGGGTCCTTTTAATGCTCCCTCCCTCCTCTCGCTCGGGGAATGCACGGGGAATGGACGTCCGAGCGGTGGCGAGAAAAGACCCCCGATCCCTCCATCCCTAATGGACCTAGCCATCCTAACAAAGGTCCCCTCCCAAAGGGTCAGGGGCCCTTATTGCTCTCTCCCTCCTCTCGCTCCTCTCTCCCCGTACTCCTCGCTCAACACCGTTTTTGTGGCTACGCCGTCCCTCCCTCCCTGGGTCGCTCCTTCCTGCGCCACCGCCGCCTTCGACGTCGTCCACGTCGTCGTCGTCTTCGTCGACGTCGTCGCGGTCGTTGTCTTCGTCAACGTCGTCGTCGTCAACGCCGTCAACGTCGTCAACGTCGTCAACGTCGTGAACGTCGTCGTCGTCGTCGTCGTCGTCGTCGTCGTCAACGTCGTCGTCGTCGTCGTCGTCGTCGTCGTCAACGTCGTCGTCGTCGTCGTCGTCCTCGTCCTCGTACTCGTCCGTCGTCCGTCGTCGTCGTCGTCGTCGTCGTGGTGGTGGTCGTCGTCGTCGTCGTCGTCGTCGCGGTCGTCATCGTCGACGTCGTCGTCGTCGTCGCTGTCGTCGTCGTCGTCGTCGTCGTCGTCGTCGTTGTCTTCGTTAACGTCGTCGTCGTCGTCGTCGTCGTCGTCGTCGTCCGTCGTCAACGTCGTCGTCGTCGTCGTTGTCGTTGTCGTCGTCCGTCGTCCGTCGTCCGTTGTCGTCGTCGTCGTCGTCGTCGTCGTCGTCGTCGTCGTCGTCGCGGTCGTCGTCGTCGCGGTCGTCGTCGTCGTCGGATGTGTTTTGCGCTTTCTTGGCCTTCGGAGGCCCCTGGAGACATCCAGTGGTGGTGCTGATCTCCGTCGTCGTCCTGTCTTTTGCTCTCTTCTCCCTCTCTCTGTCTTTCTGATTCCCTTCCTCGTTGTCTTCATTCTTATAATCTCTCTCTGTATCTATCTCTCTTTCTTCACTTCTCGCTCTGCCTCGGCAGTCTGCTGTTCTCTTCCCGTCCCCTCTCGTCCTCGTCCGCGTCCTCCTTGCGCTCGGTCGTCGGCCCCCAGTTTGTTGGTTGATGCGGTCCTGTTTCCTCTTCCGTCGCGCCTCCACTCGCTTTTCCTTGCTGCCCCCCCTTCCCTCGCTCCTGCCCCTGGTCCGTTGATGCCCCTGATGCTCCTCCTGGTGCCTCCTACTGCTGCTCCGTGTGCCTCTTGGGTGCTCCTCCAGGCGCCCCTTGGCCTTCTGAGATGCTTCCTGGCGCCCCTGGTGCTCCCGATCCCCACTGGTCCTCCCGACTGCGCCTGCTGCGCATCCTGATGCCTCTGGTTGACCACAGATGTGATTTACCTTAGAACTATCTTTTTCTCCGAATGTGCGAGACATGTTCGCAGGTCTGCCAGAACAATCAATTCTGGGGTAACTCAATCTTGCAGCCGATCCCCTGCTCCACTGGTGCTGCTCCCCTTTCCTCTGCGGTCAAGGTCGTGCTGGGCCGGTGCGGTGGCGGCCCCGCCGCGGGCCCTCGAGGCGGAACGCCGCGAGTGTCCCCCAGGTCGGCCAGTGTGGAGCGGCCTGGCCATCGAGCAGCCGCCGATGGCTCAAGGCTGGAAGATCCACGCGGCGTCAGAAGCTCAGAGGAGGAAGAAGGTACCCATACCGCTACCTCTCCCTCGGTTTCGCCTTTTTGGGCCTCCTGGGAGGCCCTCGTTGCCACCACTGGATTCGCTTCGAAATCCTGGTCAGCACGCACCCCAGGAGAGGTCCTGGGAGTGGTGGTATGGGTCTTTCTGGTTTCCTCAGAAACTGACGCCAGGGTCGTCACGACACCAACTTGCCGCACTTGTCCTCGCCCTCATCCTTCCCGTTTCTCTCTCCCTGCTCCGTGTCCCTCCGCCTCTCTCGTGACTGGTCTGCCGCTCAGCTGTCTGTGTGCTGGTTCTGACGTGCCTCTCCTCTATTTTCTCAGTGCTTCAGAATCCCAAGGACGGCCGTGGCCACAACCTCTTGTTCAGATCAGATAGACCTCGCCGTCGCTGAGGGCTGCGAACTGCGAAACTGTTGCCACTCTTGTGGGCTCCTAGGAGGTCCAGCGCAGTGACGTCCTGTTCAGATCAGACGAGGCCTCGCCGTCGCTGGGGCGATTCTCCGCCCCCTGCCCCGCCGTTACCCCCCGAACCCAAATCTGCAGCTTCGCGAGCAGGCACGGCCGGCTCTCTACAGGCGGGTTTGATTGGTAGGTCGACCCTGCCAAACCAAGGGTACCCTTGTGCCCTTTCCCTAGAGACTCATGCCTCCTACATTCCTGTGGCAATGCAGCCTTTGGAAGCTTCTCCAGTCCCGCCCTCCCCTTCCTCTCTCAGTCCCAGTCCCCTTCCGCTTCTGCTCCGAGACAGCTCTCTCTTTTCGCTCGACCTCCCAGCGCGCCGCGCTTCTCGTGGCCCAGCTCGCCAGCTCCCGTGTGCAGCAGGTCCCTCCCTACATTTAAGTCGGGCATGTCCCTCTACAGGAGGAATCTTTAAAATAGTGCAGAAATAGTCTGGGGACTACTTTCTATTATTGAATCGTTTCGCTCATTCCGCCGGCCCATATTGCGCTCCGTTGTCGACTGACCGAGTCGTCTTTCGCGATGCGGAGCTCTAGGGGCGGCGGCTGTTTTGATCAGGCTTTGCGTTCGGCATGTGAGGCTTCTTGGTCGCCGCTGGGGGAGTCTTGAACGCGTCGCGGGCCGTCTGGGATTGTTTTGTCTATGGGGACTCTTTCGGGAGGCCTCTTGGTGGCCTCTTGGGGACTCTTGAACGCGTCGGGTCGTTGGCACTTGCTTGCGTGCTCGTTTTTTGTTTTTGTATTTGCTATGTTTTGTTTTTCTTGAAAAAACACATGACCAATCCCCGGCCATCAAGATCATTCGAAAGCAAGGACACTTGCCGTCAACGAGACACCTTTGTGCTTCGGGTCACGGCCTTTCAAAACGAGAGCCCACCTGTTCTTATTACTCCTCGTCGCTCCCGTAGTCACCAGGAAAGGTTCACCCAGGATGTCGAGAGGGCCCAAAGTAGTGCAGGCCTTGCACGAGGTACAAACGAACAGCGGACTCTCGTCGGAGCTTTCAAAGGCGAGAAGCGTATGTCCTCGCTCCAAGGGAGCCTCCCCCGAACATCCAGCCGGCGAGGGGCGGTTATCCTGGCGTCTGAAGCGCAAACATGTGTCGCACCTCCAGTAGGTTGTGCACCACGACCATTCGTGGTCGACCGTGGGTGCAGAGACTCTGACCTCCCTCGTGGCCTTAATTAGCTCAGCGCCTGATAAGTCGAGCCGAGTCCAAGCAAGTAGAAACCGTGCTCCGAGCTTGATCACAGCTATGCAAGTTCGCACTTGCCAAAGTAAAAACTCACGCTCGTGGTTGGTGGGCCTAGGGTGCAGCCTGAGACCAAGTTTGGCTGCCCTGTCGGCCGAATCATTACCTGACTGGAAAAATTTGTTATGGGAAGAGTGCGCATCTCCTTCCAGCACGTCAGCCTTCACCTTCTTGAAATCAACCCACGGTGCCGAAAGGGCTGAAAGCATCATGGCAGCATGGGGGCGCTTGTAGGAGAGCTGCATAGCCCTAGGGGCCTCTTTGGTCCTGACCGCATTCAGACAATCAGAGTGCCCCCCAGAGGGCTCCGAGATACATCGAGAGGCAGTCTCCAGGGCCCCAACCTCCCCCGCTTGGCTGGTTTGGGGGAGGGGGGGCCAGATGGGTCCGTAAACAGAACATACATCTTCCCAAACTCAGAGTGGGCTTGGAACCCCCAGCTTGCTCGAGATAACTCTTTAATTATGCTACGCTCACACTTCCTTCCACGAAGATTTGCCCCGAGACGTTGGTATCCTCGCTGTATCGTCGGCCTAATTAAGACACACACAAACTCCGCCTTCTCTGCGATGGCGAGGCCAAACATTACCTGGGTGAGGGAAAACCGCTTTAGTATATAGAAGGAACTGCTGTCGATCATCCTGGTCGATCGCTCTGGCTGCTTCCTGAACCTCCTGGTCCACGATTTCAACCCTAAGTGATGGAACCTCCGAACAATTCCACAAACGATGGTAGATCGAATCCGAAGCAGCCTTGCACAGCGGACACAGGTCGGACTCCACTTGGTATCCAACTTGGATCACCCGATCCATGGTCCAGGCAACTCCACAACTAAGCCCACGAATGCACCCTTTCTCGTAGGAGTTGAATTCGCTGGAGGAAAGGGCTGCCTGGACCACGTCATAGCAGAGCCTGGCGTCGACGCCGAGGGAAATGTCTGAATCACGCGGCAACTGCCTGAAGACTCCATCTCTCAGGGAAGTCTTGACAAGAGCTGGCGACATGGAGGTCATGCCCAAGATGTCCCCGAAATCATTGGCAAGCTCGGTGAATGACTTCATGCCCCATCCAATGCGAGATAATGAGAACTTCCTGGCCCCGATGGGGCCTGCAACCTTTCTCCGGGTGAGCTCGGGGGGGACGCGGGAGGGTCACCGGAGACCCGCGCGGGTCACCGATGAGTGGGCAGCCCTAGCAGGCCCAGACCGCACCCAGACGATCCGTTTACCCTCCAAGGACCTCGGCGCCGTGCCATGACTTGCGCTGCGGCGTTGTGTATGTGCTGCTGCTCTCCGATGCCATGCTTTGCGTTTCACTGCTCTGTGATGTAATGATTCACCACGCAGTGCCACGCCATGCCCTGACATGCACGCTCTGCCGTGCTTTTCCACGCACTGCTCTGCCGTGCTCTACTATTCATCGGGTACCCTCTCAATCTGTCGTAACCGGCCTGTTTGGAACGTCGTAACCGAAGCCTCAATATCCTGCCTGTTGGAACGTCTGTCCTGTCTTTCTACTAATAGCCGCAATCTGTCGTAACCGGCCTCGTTCGGAACGTCGGCGCTATGTAATGCGTGCATTCGCTTTCTGTCATCATGGAGCCAATGTGCTTCGGCGCTCCGGCGCCACCGCCGTGCTCTTTATAGGGCCGTCCCCCGGGACGATTGTCGGCGTCCTGTCCTGTCCTGTCCTGTCCTCTCGGGATCATGATCCTATTTGACATGTGACTGCGCGAATAGAGAGGATATCTACGCCTTGGTACGGGATGGGAGGGAGGGGTAGGACGTCAGATGTGACGCGAGCGCACCCAGCTTGCCCCTCCCTCCCTCTCCCTCCCCTCCCCTCCGGCCTCCAAGGCTGCGCCACGTGACGGCGCTGGCCCTCCGCGGCCTCGAGCTCTGCAGATTCCACGGCGGTGGAGCCGAGGGCGACGGCCACGAGGAAGCCGCGTTCGGAGGGGGGGGTGGCGGCCACGCGCATGGGTGCTCGCGGTTCGGTCGGTTCGGTCGGCTCGGTTGTCGGATCGGTTCGGTTCGTTTCGGTCGGTTCGGTCGGTTCGGTGTTCGCGGTTCGTCCGCGCGCGGGGGGCGGGGGGGGGCACACGGACGCGGTGTGCGCGTTCGGCCGCGTCGCGGTCGGTGAACCAGGTCACCCCCAGGGGCGCGAAGATAATCGCGCTTCGCGCTCGGGGGGGGGGGGGGGCTCGGGGTGTTTGCGGTTCGGTCGGTTCGGTTGCGCCGCATTCGGTTGCCCATGTCACCCTCAGGGACGCTATAAGATAATCGCACTTCGCGCGTCGCGGCCTTGGCCGGAGAGCTGCCCTTGTCCAGGGCGGCGGTGCGAGGGCGTGAGAGCGCGAAGCTAGTCGCGCTACACGGCCTGGGTTGCGTTCGGTCGGTTCGCTTCGGGCGACTGCCATGTCGTTGCCGCGTCGCATCGCCCTTCTCGGCTGCCTGCGGCCTGCCGGTTTCGGTGGGCTTCGGTTTCGCTCTCGCTTCGGTCGGTTTTGGACTTTGCCGTCGTCGTGGGCGCCTTCGCGACAGGCTCGAGGGCGGGGTCTCCCGCGGCAGACACGAGAGGCATCCTCGCTTCCGCGCCTGGCGGCCCAGGCCGCAGGGCCATCACACCACCAGGGGTGCCATCTCCGGCGACGGTCGTTTAAAGTAGGCATTCTTTGATGCCCCCGCCGCAATCTATTTTGAGGCGCCTTCCTACTTGAAGAGTCAAGTGCCTTTCCCGCTTCCCTCCTCTTCAGGGAGCGGGCGCAAGCCCAATCTACACTGTGGACGAAGAACAAGAAACACTCTGCTTGCCTCCAGGGTGCCCTGTTTTTTCTGGGTTTCGATGGTTTTGCAGCGGAAAGCGTGACGTTCCCACACCAACAATCCATGGACGTCCCAGGGTCTCAGGGTTGGCTTTCTTGTGGAAGGTTTCCCGTGGACTGGCCTCCACTCTACTTTCAGCGCCTTCCTACTTCGTGCTTCTGCCCACTTCTTCCGACCGACTGGTACTGCGCGAGCAATGGAGCGGACCTGTCCAAAGAAGGCGGCGTCCAGGACGCGGGCCCCCGCCGCGGCGGCGACGGCTCGGCAGCTGCGGGCTACGTGCTCCAGGCCCCAGCTGCTCTCCTTGCGCCTCGCTTCCGATCTCCGATGGAGAAGGAGGGGGATCGGGGGGAGGAGGAGGGGGAGGAGGAGGAGGAGGAGGAGGAGGAGGAGGAGGAGGAGGAGGTCGGCGACGGCGACGGCGACGGAGAAGGAGGAAGGGCGGGAAAGAAAGGAGAAAGGTGTGCGGTGGAGTTGGAGAGGGCGTTGGGCGAAGGCTGCTTGCTTTTTTAGGCGAGCCGTGCGGTCTTGCACGTCCGGGGTTTGCTGAACATATTCCAATCGATACTCGATAGCATCATGATGACAGTCGTCGGAATCGGCTCGGGGTCTGAGGTGGCCCAGCACTGGTTCTGGCCAGCAGGAAGGGGGGGAAGAGGGTCGAGGTTCTGGATGCGAGACGATTCTTTGATTCTTTCGGCCCCCCGTGGCTTCAAAGTCAGATCCTGGGTGAAACACCTTTCCAGGTGAACCCTGGAGGGGTCCGGGACCGATTTTGACGGGATTTGGTTTTCTCCCTTCTTTTTCCGCCCTCTTGACCGACTTCTTCGGGGCCCAACCAGCTCAGACACCCTGGGTGCCTCCAACCGATAGATCTTGATCGCATCATGCCTTATGTTGCCAGGTATAACCGTAATTCACCACATCGTTGCCCCCTTGACCCATGCATTCTCCTGGTCCCCACTGTAGCGAGGAACGGGTCCTTTCGACGAGGGTAGCCGCCAGCTGCTTCTCCACGCTTGCGCTTGCCTCAAGGGGTGTTCGTGCTCATAGGCTCAGGCGACTCCGCCGACGCACAGGGGAGGCGCTTCGTGTGGACATCCTGAACGACTCGGGCGCCTCGCGGAGGCCAGAACTGCTGGAGGGGGATGAGGGGGGATCGAGTACCCAGAAGACAGGCCCCGAGCGGGCACACTGGGTGGTGTCAACCTACCCGGGCACGAGCGCGCAAATCTCGCAAGCTGGGCGCCTCCTGGGCCACGTGCGCGTGCGGTCTGCTATGATCTCGCCGCGCGTGTGCCCGAACACCTGGGGCAATATCGGAGCTGTCTTGGCGTCATCTCGGGCACCGTTGTGGGCATCTTGGGGTTCTATCGGATCCATTGTCGGCCCAGGGGACCTTGGGGGTATTTTTGGGGGCCTCTCGGGCCGTTTTTTGCCTGGGAGCCTCTTTGAGCTGGTTGAGAGCCTCCCGGATGTCTGTCGGGGCCTCAGTTGTCTCTGAGGGCCCGCGTGGGAGCAGTTGGGGCCTTGTTGGGCTTCTCCCGAGCCACCTTGTGAGGCCTATCTCAAGGAGCAAGGGCGAAACATACCAAACCATGGGGGCGCGATATGGTCATCCTTGATTTTGGCTTCTCCGGGGGTTCCCTGGGAAGCTCTGGGTCCCTCCTGGTGGCCATCTTGGGTTACTTTTGGCAGTGATCATTGGAGGTCGCCAGGACTGTCGTGAAGCACATTGAAATCATCTTGGGTCAACTGCCTGCTGGCCTGCCTGCTTGCCGCGAAGCTGCTTGCTCTGAGTTCCCTTCAGGTTACCCTCTGATGTGCTTTCCAGCTTGTATGCTCGATCGTGCGGCACGTACCTTGCTGTGTATGTACCCTCTCGCCCTCTTTTCTGGCATGCTTTCAGCTGACCCCTGCGCTTTCCAGCATGCCGCGTGCTTCTTTTCTTGAGATAGGCTTGCCTAAAGGAGTCCTGCTTAGCTCAAGTTATAGAGAGCTGGTCCTCCGAGACCTTCCTTTATTCTGCGCCAAACCGGAAATGGCTTCTTCTGCTATTGCAATGGTTTCCCCTGCTACTGCAATGCCTTTCTGTGCTATTCAATGGCATCCTTTGCCATTGCAATGGCTTCCTGTGGTTATGAGAACGGCGTCCCGACAGTCTTCCAATAATCGTCAAAGTCAGACTTAGAGTAGAGCATATTAGAGTCGAGACATGTAGGAATATTGTAGAGTAGGGAGGAGACTCGAGTAGAGTTTAGCATATTCTATTCGAGTAGAGTAACGTAGAGGCGAGTAGAGTAGAGGCGAGTAGGAGTAGACTCGAGACGAGTATGAATCTATTGGGGTATACTAGAGTAGAGAACTGCAGAGTGTAGTTTTATATAGCAGAGTAAGCAAAGTAGGAGTAGTGTCGAGTAGGGGCCGGGTAGACCAGAGCTGAGTGGACCAGATCAGAGCAGAAACAAACAGAGTAGAGAGTAGAGTATAATAGGGTATGGCAGAGTAGAAGAGAGCAGAGGCGAGTGTATGAGAGCAGTGTAGAGTAAGGTAGATGTTAGAGTACAGTCGGGTCTACCAGAGTATTAGAACGAAGATACTATGGAGAGGTGCTGGTCGGTTGAATATTTTGAGAGTGGCCGCAACATAGGTTACGGAAGTAGGTGATCAACAACATATTTCCGACACATGTCAGTTAAATGACATTATTCTATAAGGTGTAAGCGCTGAAGCGCAAAAGGTCTTTGCGGCGCGCAGCGAGTGCCTTGCTGGGAAAGCCGATTGTTATGGCAGCTCATGGCGATCACGCGTCCTGCAGCGGCGCGCGGGATCGGCTTCCATTGTTCGGTTTTTGGGTCTCTCGCCGCGGGGGCGCGCCATGGATTGGCGCGGCGCGGGGCCTGGTGCCACCCGCGCGCGTCCAACGAATTGTGGGCGAAGGGCCCGCCCATCTGCAGTTCTGATCGCAGTTTCTGGTGGAATTTCTTTGGGGGCCAGGGAGCGCGCGACAGGGGCGTGCCGACATGAACCAGGGCCGCCGCGCCAGCGGCGCCAGCGGGGTCGGGACTTTCAGCGGAGCTTCCTGCGGGGCCACGACACGCGCGACAGTTGCGCAAATATGCCGCGCCCAGCCGCTGCCGCTAGGGCCTTCGGCGGGGTCCCCCGTCGAGCCGCGAACTGCGTGAGGGTTCTGCGGGTGCCGCGCGCGGCCGCCGCCTCTGGGGCCTTCGGCGGAGGTCCCCATGGGGCCACGACGCGCGCGAGCGGTGCCCAAATACGCGCGCCGAAGTCCCCCGGGGATTGCGAATGCGGGGCTTATTGTGTTTTGCATTTTTTGCGTATTTCGATTGGGGCACCTTGAACGCGCCTAAACAATCGCGGCCGCCCAGGGGCCGCGCCGATCGAGACCCCGCGGCGATTGTGCCGGCGTCTGGCGCGGAGCTTGGGGGGTATCTTTCGCCGCCCTGGGTCGCGGTGGCCATCTAGCAGCAATTTTGGGTGCCCTCGAATTTGCTGCCCGTGGCGCTTGCGCAATCGGCGCGGGCTGGGCTGGATGCGAGCGGCGTCGTGGATTGGGGTTGCCGAGGGGGGTCGCGGCACAGACGGCCAGGGGGGGCAGTGGGGTTAATTTGGGAGGGCGGCAGGCAGGATGAAGAGCGCGCGAGGGGGAAAGGGGGGGTGGCGCGATCGGGAGGGGGGGGGGGAGGGGGGTGGGGAGAAGGGGCGAGGGACGGGGAGGTCCACGTCGTCGGCAGCAGTCTGGGGGGCGTTCTTGCTGACTCACTCGCAAGTCGCAGCGGCGGCAGCCGCGGGGGCGCGCAGGACGTCTTGCCGTCGGCGTTCGCGCGATGATGGTACAGTGGCCACATGAGAGTTTGGATCGCAGAAATGTTGGGTGGCCCGTGGCCCTTTGCAGTGGCGAGTCGGCCTGCTTCCCCCTCTCCTTCTCCTCGCGCGCGGGTTTCATCGGCCCCGTCGTCTTTCTCCTGGCGCTGTCGTTCCTGTCAGCGGCTGCGCTGCTGCTCCCGCCCCCTTGTCTGCCTCCCGCCGTATCGCCGCCGCCGCTGCCGTCGCAGATGCGGCGTCGGAGATGTGCGGATTCGGCGGGGTTGCGTCGTCGACTCGCAAGCGAGGCGTTCGAGATGTCCGGTGTGGATCGCCCCCGGGCGAGCGCGCGCAGTTGCGTTTCGCATGTGCCGCGTGCCACTGCGCTAATCCAGCGAACGGTTTCCGCGCACCCATGCAGCGGAGGCTTTTTTTCGATATATCTCGCACGCCGTAACCTTCTTACATGTTTCATGTATTTCAATGTTTCCATGGGTTCCCAGGCTGTCCATGAGTAGCTGCCTTTTGGCCCGAGTAGGTTACAGCAGAGTAGAGTAGGTCGAGGTGGTGTAGAGTGGAGTAGGATTAGAGTAGAGTCGAGCGGGGGCAGGAGTAAAGTCGAGAGTGGTAGAGTAGCGTAGATTAGAGTGCGTTAGGATAGGGTAGAGTGAAGTCAGTAAAAAAAAGTAAACTCAGTCGAAGCAGAGCAGAGAGGAGTAGAGTGGGGTAGTTGGTCGAGAGAGCTCCGTTAAAATAGACAGAGACGAGTACAGTAGAGCAGAGTGGGGTAGAGTCGATCCCCGTTCAGTTCAGTTGATTTCAGTCCTCGCGAGTCCACTGCGTTTCAGGCGCGTTATATATTTGGAGTATGCGCTGGCTGATGCGGACTACTCTTTCATGTGTCCATTTTCTTGTTTCCAAGCCTGCCTTCTTTCTTGCTCGTAGGCCTGGCTCCCTGACAGTTTGCTAATATCCATCGCATCTACTGGTCTTGTCGGTCCGCTTCCAGCGCTACGGAACGCAACGTGTATTAGCATGGGGCTGGCGTTTTTGAGCAGTTGTCCCACGCGTATTTTTCGGCGAAAACTGGTATCCATACAGCTAGTTTCGGCCTCCACGTATTCGCGTCCTCGTGCGGCGAATCCAGGCGCGCAACATATGGCGCAGCAAGACGTGACGCGCCAAGGCACTGAACGGCAAGCTCTGGTAGGGCTGGGTGAGGTGAGGCAAAACATCTTTCAGGGTGACAGCGCAACGCATGGGAATGCTAAGTGACGGGATGCAACGCAAGCCACAGCAAAACACGTCACGGCATTGCGATGCGAAACGAAGAGGAGCATCACATTGCACGGTGGTGCGACCCATGCGAGGTCATGCGAGGCGCGCTGAGGCACGATAGGACAATGTTACGCGAGACAAGATAACGCACGGCACGGTTTTGCAACGCAATCTAACGTACAACGAATCATGGCAGCGGAAGTCACGCGAGGGCAAGGAACAACCAGACAATGCACCGTGTTAGATGGCATTGCAGATGCTAATAGGCATACCGGGCAAAGGCATGGCAATTGTTCAAGCGGGGGCAGATACAATGGCCAAGCGGCCAGGCCAGGCAAGGCCATGCAAGACGCCGTGATGCAAAGCAGGGCGCGGTGAGGCAAGGCAACGTGTGGCATGTTAAGACAGCGCAGCACAAGGTAGCACGTGGCAGCAATAAGGTATAACCAGAAGGGGATATGCAAGGCACGACACGGCACAGCTAGGGGAGGAAGGGAGGGCATGGCCAGAAGAGGGGCAATGCAATGATCATAGTTGCAAGGCCGGACTGATGAAGGGTGCTCGTGGCGGTCCGTGTTCTCGCGCACCGACAATCTTCATGACCCGATTGAGGCCAGACCTCGGAGCATGGCTCGAATGCCCTTACAATCCCGTCCGCTGGGCAGGCCTTGGGTGCCTGTCCATGCAGTTTCTCATGCATCCGATCGAGACAGAGTAGAGCGGAACACGACAGAGAAAATCCGAGAGCAAAGAGGCAAACTGGTGGGAGGTTGCGGCGGAAATCAATGGCGATGGAGACTCCGGCGGGGGAGGCGGTGGCTGTCGCAGGCGGCCATTGGCCAGCCGTGCCAAACGGTGGGGGGGCCTCCTTTCAGGTGGCCGCCGAGAGCTCGGCCGAGGCCCTGGAGACCAGCGAGGTGCTGAGGACCGCCGGGGGAACGCGGGCCTCGAGGGCTCCAAGACGGGGTCCGAGTAGATGGGGTCCGAGGAACGCGCTGCATCGCCGATGCATCGCTGATGCGATGCGACTGGATGTGGAACCCGATTTTCTCGACGCCGACGGCGCCGATGCATCGGCGATGCATTGGCGACGTGGCTCGATCGTCCGACCCCATCTACTCGGACCCCAACCTGTCGGCCTCTAGAGACGCAGACTTCTCCGCCCCCAAAGCACGCA